GTCCCTCAGGTCCCGTATACCGAGGTGCTGATGGGTGCTCTCAGGCAGCAGGAGTGCAAGTCGAGTAGAAAATCGTTCGGCAGTCTGTTGTGACTGCAGCTTTTCAACGTCGAACTTTCCATGTGTTTGTTGACGGGCGCTCTTCGATACACAAAGTGGCATGCGTATCTTCGCTGCAACAAAATCATGGTCCGAGCCGATGTTGGGTCCTCGGGCTGTACGCACATCAAGAGCACTGGAGACATGTCTTCCGTCTATCACAACATGATCAATTTGGTCTTGTGTTTTTCGATCTGGGGACAACCAAGTTGCTTGATGATTTTTCGTGCGGTGGCATCTAGCACTACACACAACCATATTTCGGGCCCCGGCAAAGTTGATCAGCCTCCACCCATTAGGGGATGTTTTGTTGTGAAGGCTGAATTATCCAACAGTCGAACCAAAGATACCTTCTTTGCCCACCCTGATATTAAAGTCACCAAGCACGATTTTTACGTCGTGTCGGGTGCAGCGCTCATAAGTATGCTCTAGGCGCTCATAAAAGGCATCTTTTGCCAAATCGCCCTTTTCATCCGTCGGGAAGTGGGCGCGAATCAGCGATATGTTGAAGAATTTCGCTTTGATGCGGATTGTGGCGAGAGGCTCTTCCACCGGAGTGAATACCAGTACTCGATGACGGAGTCTCTCTCCCACCATAAATCTAACACCAAATTTTGTGCTCCTTTAAATGGACACTGTGTTAAATGTCGCAAGAACTCACTCGCTTTCGTCCTTGTCTTGTCCATTGCACTCCTTGGACGGCGGTGATGTCATCGTTTATTCTTATTAGGACATCGGCTATCTGGGCAGCGGGACCTTCCCAATTAAGGGACCGGACATTAAAGGCGCACGCGCTCAAATCGTGGTCCTCAAATCGTTTGTGGAGGTTGTCAACAGAAAGGGGGTATCTCATCCGAGGCCTTCTATCATTTTTAATTAGAGCTGGTTTCTACGTGACGGGTCTCAAACTAAGCGCACACCCTCGTCAGACGAGTGGGTTTAAATTTTTTTACACTGTCTTATAGCGAGCCGCTTGCTTCAAGAACGACGCCCGCTGGAAGTTGCACCTCTGGTGAACAGATGCTGCAATTAGACTTCAGCAGACCCTTAAATCGAATAAGTCGGAGCAGCTCCAATAAACCTTCCTCTCTCATTAGCCGTGACCCAAGGATCCACACGGGTTGGTTACCACATCTTGTACAAGGGTTGCTCCCGTTTCCAGGTTGCGCGACTTTGACGCAAGAGTAGGAATTGGGTATAGCCTCGCAACTGTAACCGCAGATTCAGAAGGATGTAACTCGGGCAATAAATAAAATTTTTTGCATAGGTCACCCCCTGGTCCACTTTCCCTGGTCCGCTTCCCGAAGAAAAAAAGATTATTACTTCTTATCTTAGCATAAGCCACCAACGTACCGAGTTTCAAGTATATCCGAATATTAAGAAAGTTTTTTCGATGAGGTCAGTCCGTGTTCCATATTCCGGGGAGAATAATAATCTTTTATCAAACTTACGTAAACAAACAACTTATGCACCGAATTTCAAGTAAGTCGATTTATAAATAAGTTTTTTTTTATATGTCAAAAGGTGAAGGAAAGTGCTAGGCAAAAGACCCAAAAAAAAGGTACTAGGCGCCAGCATTATAAAGTGAAAAAAGTGAGTGAAAGTGGGCGATTTGCCTGTGGCTTTTCAGAAGTAAGTGGAAAAATAAGTGGGCGTCAGGCTTAAAATTAGCCACAAGCAAAGCGACCCGCTATAAAGTAAGTATGATCAAAAGTGGGGCGTTGGCTTCAGAAAAGCCATCAGGTGTAGCGCCCCACTATATAATAGTGAAGAAAGTGAGGAAAAGTGGGTGCGTCAGTGCAGCGTAGAACCCTTTTTTTATATTTATACAGCGCCGGCCGTACGGCCATAAGGTGAGGCGCGAGTGCTGAACGCTGGCACTAAGTGTCATACGGTAGGGCGTCAGTGCGCAAATAGATAACTTCTATATTTTAAGAATAGAGCGCCGGCAAATAAGCCACGAGACAAAACGCAAGTCCTGTTCGCCGACAAGTAGATGCCAAAAGATCATTCGGCAGTGCGATTAAGCATCGAGACTCAAACCAATGGCCAAACAGAAGCAGCAAGGCCCAAACCAACGGCCCAACAAAAGCAGCAAGGCTCAAATCAACGACCCAGTAGAGCGAAAGTACCATACTTACCTGCTTATTTATATAATACATACGCATGTGAATTGGGAAGTGGAAGTATCCGAGGCATACCCGTTTATTACTTTATATAGATTCCAGTACAATTTCTTACTGCGAAACTACCATACTTAGCGGCTTTGACAACTCATTTTATTTATATAATTCATACGTATGTGGTTAAGAACTAAACCACACAAATTGTCAAAAATTGAGTACTCCGTTTACGTAGATTTAAAGGCGGACGAACCGATCTCTTTATTAGCTTCAGGTATACTAAATTTACATTAATTAACTTAATGCAAGTTACAAACTGAGCATATTTTGTATTTTCATATGAATATAAAGCGGACTGTAAAAAAGGATTAACGGTTCCAACATTCCAGTATATTTACATATTTACAATTGCACATACGTAAAGCTACATATTTACCTGTATATACTTGCGAACGTATATACATAGACGGCTATTTTTGCAACTGGCCGAACATATTAACTGCGAGCTGTTTGTATGGTGACTACTATGACCAGATTATCGTCTCCTTTAGTTACTGCTACTACCCGTCCCATGAGCAATTTCGATGGTGGCAGGTTTGGTTCCTTCAGGAGTACTAACGTGCCTAGCTCAACGTTGAACAGTTTTTGTTGCCACTTATTGCGTGGTTGTAATGACGTCACATACTCTACATGCCACCGCTTCCAAAAGCCCTGAACCATTGCTTGAAGATGCCGCCAATGTTGGAGACGATTAATATTTATATCCAAAAGGCTCTGGAACAGAAGTATACGGCCCTCAAATCATAAAGTGAGCTGGTGTAAGGGCGTTCAATTCGGTATCTGATGATACACACAAGAACCGAAAATTTATTATTGGCTCAATTTGTGCCAGAAGTGTGCAATATTCTTCGATTGTAAGTACGTTGCTTCCAACCACTCGACGAATGTGTAACTTAATGGAATGTACTCCCGACTCCCAAAGCCCGCTAAAGTGTGGCGCTGATGGTGGAATAAAATGCCACATAATCCCTTCAGCAGCCAAAACATCTGACACTTCACGCATATGAGACTCGGATGCAGCCAATTTTTGTAATTCGTTTAAAACTCGATGAGCGCCATCAAATGTTGTACCATTGTCAGAATATAAGTCAGTTGGCAGCCCTCGACGAGCTCCAAAGCGACGCAAAGCCACTAGAAATGCGTTGGTTGTAAGATCACTTACGAGCTCGATATGCATCGCTTTGGTTGACATGCATATGAATACAGCGAACCAAGCTGTCCCATTCTTTTGCAAGAAAATTCGACCTTTCGTACGATATTACGACAACCAATAATCCAATAATGTTGCCTCATAATACAAAACATAGCGTCGATACCTGGATGCAAGTATTTAACCTGCAAATAAGCTGAGAAACATTAGAAACTTTGGAAAGTAATATTGGATGCTTTACTGATTCCGGCAATAGGGCATTTTCGATGCGTCCTCCGACGCGAAGAACACCATCTTCATCCAAAAAAGGAGTGAAACGGAGAAGTTGGGACCTCGCCTTTAATGGAAAGCATTTTTGTAGATGGACCATTTCATTTTTGAATGTATTCGCTTGTGAGTGGCGGAAAATAGCATTTGCCGTAGACTTAAGTTGATAAGCGTACAGAATGTGAAAATGAATGTGAATGTTGTTCGGCTATAACGTGTGCGTCCTCCGAGGGGGTGGTGATGTCGGTGGATGGCCACTGAGTTCTAGGCAAAGTCAATTCACTGGAAAACACTCCCCGCGACGCGCAATCAGCAGGACTGTCAGCAGATCGTGTGTGATACCAATACTGACGGGGACAAACATCGAGTATCTCTGCAGCACGGTTGCATACGAAAGGCGTCCATTTACGAGGTGGTGATGAAAGCCAGTGTAAAACGATTTCGGAGTCGCTACAACAAAAAAATATTCGTAATTTTCAAGTTGAGAGATGACGTAATTGATGATAATAATTTGACGAGCAAATGAACAGCGCTCAATTCGAGGCGTGGAATTGATAAGGGTTTTAAGGGTGCGACCCTTGTTTTGGCAGCAATTAAATTGGTAAAGTATTTACTGTCAAGGTTGCATCTGCTTTAAACTGCAGCAGCATATGCTGACGATGACGCATCTGCGAAGCCATAGATTTCAATTGATTCGCCGGATGTCGATATCTGTCGTGGAATCTTGATATTGGAGATAATGCAATTCGGATAATATTTTGCTTCCAGCGATTACTCAACGTGGAAGAAAGCTTATCATCCCAACTCGTACCTTGGCACCAAGTTTCTTGTAAAAGTATTTTAAAGAGCACAGGCAATTTGATTGATATCTGGAACTCAGCTGTGTCAGGGCTGCACTGTATTCCAAGTAACTTCACACAAAAAATATCTGGTTCAGACACGATGTCGATTTGTTTATGTTCACATATTTCCTTTGGTAGGGTATCTAGCAAAGGTTTGCAATTCGAACACCACTTTTGTAATTTGAAGTTGGCACATTTTAGAAAGCTTATAATTTCGGTTTTAAGATGAAGTAAATCTTCAACTGTATTCCATCCGGTAGCTATGTCATCAACATACATGTCACTCAATAAAACACGCGCTGCGAGTGGATACGTTGCCTTATAGTCTTCTGCCACTTGCTTAAGGACGCGTACTGCAAGGAAAGGTGACGGGCTAGTTACCGTGAGAAGTCGATAATGCTCCACGGGTGAACACTCATTTTCCCGCCAAACGATTCGGTAATAATTAGTATCTGAATCTCAAACTATAATGCCACGATATATTTTCTCTATGCCAGCAGAAAATTCGTAACGATGCTGACGAAAACGAACACATGCACCAAAAAGATCACGCTGAATTGGTGGGCCAATATACAATCGTTCATTAAGTGAGTAGCCACTGGAGTCCTTACAGGATCCATCAAACACGACTCGGCAATTTGAAGTTGAACTATCTGGTTTGAGTACCGCTTGATGAGCCAGATAAAAACATTCTGACGGGTGACATTCAACTTCCGAAGGTCCAAGACGGGCCATGTGGCCAAGCGAAAGATACTCCTGCATAAAATTAATGTATAGCGTTTTCAGCGCTGGGTCTCGTTTAAGCCGGCGCTCCATATGTAGAAACCGCGTCACCGCTTGCGAAAAATTAGATGGAATCACCGGTGCATTTTCCATAAATGGATAATTGACGATGTACGTGCCGTTAATGTGACGAGTGTGGGTACTTACGAAATGAGCCTCCCCCGGGTCGGCCATATCGATCTCCTGTGGTGTAGGTTTGACATCCTCGACCTCCATAAAGGATCTGAACAAATCATCAATGTTGACGGTAGCATGATGACTTTCTGCAGTTAGATCAGCTTCGATTTTGGAGAAATGTGTTCCAGCAACAACCCACCCAAAGATGGTATTCAGCCAAATTGGCAAGTTTGGTCCGAACTGTCTTTTATCGCCAGTATAAATATTCCACACCTGATCGGAGCCAATCAAAACATCAATTTGTGCAGATTCGGCGAAACTTAGGTCCGCGAGTGGTAGCTTTATAATCGATTGCCATAATGCTGCAGAAATATTAACAGTCTGTGCAGGAATATGCGAAGTTAACTTATTTAAAATAAACGCGTTGACATCAAGTTTTCGACCGCTAGTAACTCTGGCACTACACGAAACCGATACGCGACCATTTGTTCGTGACAGACCAAGGCGTTGCACAAAAGCTTCTGAAGCAAATGGTATGGTTGATCCAGAGTCAAGTAGTATTCTACAGCTCATCTTATTTCCCCATTTATCTTCGACAGTGGCAACTACCGTTGGAAGAAACGTGTGAGGTACTTGATTGGGTGTTGGTATGCGCAAGCATTGAGTGGTAACTGCAGGTACTTGATTTGATTGATTCGGCACTTGGGATGAAGACGTAGACGACGATTGTTCATCGTGCAGTAGTGTATGATGGCGTGACCAACATTTTCTGCAGCTATGCTTCGATGACATGAACGTACTGAATGTGATTGTTTGGCAACATACCTCATACATACCTCTTTGTTTTTGTACAGCTTCCCAACGTAAACTGAGTGCACTGCCAAAGCATGTGGTTTTGCTTACAAGCCGTGCATTTTTTGTGCCTCATGTCATCTACATTTGCCAACAAAGCGACGCGACGCGGGTTTGCTGAGCGAGGAGGTACGCAGGCTTCAAGTGTATCACAGCGATGAGAAAGAATGGCTTGATCTGTCCCATCAACAACTTGGCGAAGTGCCGTTAGGTTGTTTGAACAGAGGGTCGAAAGAGCCAAAAACGATTGCACAAGTGACCTAATACTTAGCGCTTTGCGGTCGTACCGTTTGATTAAGCGGTCCCAAGCCTGCTCATAGTTATCTTCGGTTACACGAATATGTCGTGTGCAGCCAAACGATCTATAGGATCATCCTCCCTGAATGTAGATGCTTGACTTGAACCAGGTAAGTTAGCAATTTGAGCGTGGAGAAGACCACGTGTTTGAAAATGCTTCTCTTCTGTTTGCTCAATGTCCTCAATAGGGTCAACGAAAGTTTCTTCCCCTTTTCTGACTGCAGCGCATAAGGTCATTATAGCGGCTTCTAATTTTCAAGCCTATAAATAAGTGCTTCCTTAGTGGGTCCTTCAGTTGTTTGCTTGGCGGCCTTGTATGCGCGATCTATGACCAATTTCGCCCAAGCTCGATTCCGCTAAAGCAGCTCCATGACACCAATTAGTACACGCCAAAAAAAAAAGAAAGATTATTAACAAAAACGATAATCGAATGATGTTAGTCGTAAATATTCGCGATCGCTAATTCGAGCATCCGGCTCGAAGGACCAGTTTTTTGTATGGTTAAGAACTAAACCACACAGGGCACGAAATACTTAACGGCGCTCAAAAGTTGTCAAAAATTGAGTGCTCCGTTGACGTAGATTTAAAGGCAGACGAACCGATCTCTTTACTAGCTTCGGGTATACTAAATTTACATCAATTAACTTAATGCAAGTTACAAATTGGGCATATTTTGTGTTTTCATATGAATATAAAGCGGACTGTAAAAAAGGATTAACGGTTCCAACATTCCAGTATATTTACATATTTACAATTGCACATACGCAAAGCTACATATTTACCTGTATATACTTGCGAGCGTATATACGATAATCTAGTATGCTCGTATATAAATCTGTATACAAAAATATTATACCGTTTCGCTCAAAAGAAAATATCAATATTTCATATAAAGGGTGATTCGTTTAATTTGACTAATTCAAAAAAAAAAAAAAAGGTTTTATGGTTCCTCAACACTGTGTGAATTGGGAAGCGGAAGTATCCGAGGCATTCCCATTTATTATTTTATATATATTCCGGTACAATTTCTTATTGCGGACAATTTTAATATTTTGCCTTACTCAGGTACTGCGAAACTAACATGCTTACCTGCTTTGACAACTTATTTTTTCTACTTGTTTACAAATTGAAAGTACGGCCTCTGCCTGTGTACTAGGGAAGTATCTCAGGCACCCCGACTTTCACTATATTTATCGAATTTCCGCGGTATAAGCTACGCGTTTGTCGTGGTACAGAAGATTAGTAGAGTTTCACCTGCTAACTTTACCAACTCTGCGATTTGTTGAATTGGGTTAGACTAAATACTTTGTTGATTTTAGAATTTTTAAATTTAGGCCTGCGGTTTCCATCAGCTAAATTACAAGTAAAATGGCAAGCGCTAATGATTTTTCTCGGACCTGTGATTCACTTTCAGAGTTTGAAGAGTTGTACAACAACACTCAAAGTGCAAATCATTCGGTCTTCTCTCAAGAAAACCAGAAAGAAGAACTGAAGGCCTTACGGATAAAAGTCAAGGAGACGTTTGACGGATAGTCGCGAAACCTATCAGGTGGAGAAGCGAATACGCCAGCTGCTTGCTGCAAAGTGTAGGTACCAGGATAGGTAGGCAGTAGGGTGTCCCTTAAAATTCAACTTCAATATATTTTTATGCATACCTTCTAAAAAGTTTCGTATGGATCTAATATAGTCTAGAAATAAATATTAGCCCGATTTATAAACGATAACCCGTGCCGACTTGAGTTTTTAACTTGTCCATACAAGTTGCGCGGGAGTAGCGCGGCGACCTGTTACTGCGAGATTCGCGAGATTGTGATTTCATAAGTGGTTTCTAACATTTTTAGTGCGTTGTTGTTTATTTTGTGAAAATGCCTGTGGAATTACGAAGTGATAAACAAAATATTTTCCTTATCGGACTGCCAAACCACCAGATAAATGGTTTAAAATTACCATCTAATCGACAAGTTCTCACCGTTTTATTTTACAATATCCGTGAAGTCAAGCTGACTGTTAGTGAAAGTGCAAATCTTGTTATAAGAGAGTGCATTAGATTTTCGGAAAAAGCCAGAATTCCTGCGAAGGCAATCCCTAACTGCGTGAAGAAACTTATTCATTTATACCATGTTGCAAAAAAAACTGTAAAAAAACTCAGTTGACTTTCAAGAATCGTGAAAATAATTTTGTAAAAGACCTTGATAACTTATTTGATATTGCACATGCAGATGCCTTTGACAGAATGAAGATAGAGGAAGACAAAGATTTCTTAAGGAAACAGAGAGAGCCAGGTCGACCGGGATGCTTAGGTGGAATCGACAAAAAATTGGCGGAGAAAGAAGAACGAGTTAGGCAGAGACGATTGAAAGAAGAGGAAAGAAAGGTAAAACAAAGAGAGTTATTGGCTGTTGCATCTACTTCTTCGATAGATAACTTGGAATGTCTTGAGAATTCGGATGAGGAACAGATTTCGAACTCTGAACTTAGTACTCAGATTCCTTGCCCTGAAAAAAGTTTTAAAAGAGGCACGAAAAGTTTAATAACTCCTAAACTGGTAGCAGCTTTAGATCGATGCCAATTAAGCATAAGGGACTCAGTTTACATTCTCCATGCGGTTGTAGAAGCGCTTGGTCTGAACAGCGATGATTTCCCTATAAACAAATCCTCGATTCAGCGAGTTCGTACTCAAGCGAGAAAATCCAGGGCAGAAGCCATAAAAACTGACTTCCAGAATAATTTGCCTGACGTAGTCACAGTTCATTGGGATGGAAAACTATTACCTGGATTGGATGTACGAAGTTCAAAATAAGAACGCTTGCCAATTAGAGAGTTCTTCTGGAAAACATCAAGCTAAAGCCATTTAAACTGCTCTCTTTGACTGGACCCTCCATGACAAAGTACAGATAATGTGCTTCGATACAACAGCTTCCAATACTGGCCGTGTTAGTGGAGCTTGTGCTATTTTGGCGCAGACTTTAGAAAGGGAATTGCTACTTTTTGCTTGCCGTCATCATGTTTATGAGTTGGTCCTTAAGGCTGTTTTTGAAACCAAGGTAAAACTTATTACAAGTAGCCCAGATATTCCAATTTTCAAAGAGTTAAGAGATAATTGGAAAAATATTAACACTGATAACATTGAGTCACCTCTAAATTTCGTTAAAGCACATATTGCTAAGACAAACATTACATCTTTGTTAAGTTTTTATAAGACTGAACTGGAAAAATCTTTTGTTAGAGACGATTACCGTGAATTGGTTGAACTATGCGTTGTGTTCTTAGTAGGAGACACAGAGAATAAACTAAAGCTCAGGCCCCTCGGGGCTTTGCATCAAGCGCGATGGATGGCGAGAGCAATCTATTCTATAAAAATATGTTTGCTTCAATCGCAACTTAAAATCACTGCAAAGGACAAAAATGCTCTACAAAATGTTTGTTTATTCATCGTCACCTTGTATACCAAACCTTGGTTCGATTGTACAATGGCAGTTAAAGCACCTAACCAAGACTTGTCCTTTTTGAAAGCTCTAAAAGAATATGAAAAAGTAGACGCGACAAGTTCCAAGGCATCCATAAGCATGTTTATTCATCATTTATGGTATTTGTGTGAAGAAACAGTCATATTATCACTCTTTGATGAAGAAGTTGATACCAAAACCAAGACAAAAATGATTAATAATTTAATCAGAGACGAAAGATTCCTCTAAACGCTATGTCCCATCGAAGGAAGAAATTACGCAAAATTTGTTTGGTAAGTACTTAATATTTTCTTGTTTCTTTTTCAAAGTTTTGTGGTTTAGTTTTTGCTTATTTTGATGGTTTTTTCTTTATTTCAGATATGACGCTGGATCGACGACAGTTTTCTTCGGGAAGACGGATCGTCGTGGGGTGACAATCCTGCTTTTTTGAAAGCTAGAAGACGATTAAGTCCTTTGAAGGTCGTAAATGACACTGCTGAAAGAGCTGTTAAATTAATGCAAGATTTTAATGGTCTTATCACGGCTGAAGAACAGCAAAAACAGTTTTTGTTGCGTTGTGTTCAGGAACACAGAAATCTGTATCCAGACTGTAAAAAAACTACACTGAAGAGAAGTTACCCTAATTCATTGTTGTTATAATTTGTATTTAAATAAAAGTTTGTATTGATATTTTTTAGTTTTACTCATATTTACTTTATTTGTTGCATTTCAATTTGTTTTGGATCAAACCAAAATGTCAGACCAAAACACCATTTTTTATTAAACTTTAGAGCTCGGTCGGCACGGGTTGCAATCATGCTACAGATATGAAATTTCATATTTAAGTACATTTTAGCATTTTTAAAAAAATTGGAGGGTATGCGTTTCGAAATCCTAAAAAACAATTTTTTTTGCCATATAAGGGACAGCCTACTAGGCAGCGTACCTGACGTGCGCGGCATTGATGGGTGAATCTATCCACAACCTGACATTTGTGCAGTAGAGCTCGTCAACGGTGAATCATCCAGTCCGAGAACCTGAGTCGGCTCCCCGTTCGAGTATTACCCTCCCTCCTTTGCGACACAGAAATATTTTTCGGTGACTACATGGCATAGCCATCTTTTCTGAATTTATGTACAGCAATATATATTAATAATTCCCGTTTGACCCCAGTTGAAAAGTTATACCACGTTAATC